CCAGTGGCTTAATCCAGTACAGGCTCCCCATCTCCAGGTCTGTACCCTTAATCACTTCTGCAAAGACCCTCTCGCCATGTAAGACATCTTCATGCATCCTGGGGATTAAAATGTGGACAGATTTGGGGGGGTCCCTTTATTTTGCCTGCCACCCCAATGCATTAGCACAGTACTGGACCACTGTTAAGCCCTTAATGAATGTTTTCTCTTATGATTGTAAAACCTTGATCATGGTTTGTAATAAGATTGTATTATTCATTCATACACGTTTCTGTATTTGTGTTCTGTGAGTCTCATCCCTACCACCGGGCACGGCCTGCTGCATGGCCTCGCTAACTCACACAGTTCATGCATCGGTTACCTTCTATGTGGAAGTCATGGTTACTAAGCAACTGGGAACGAGTGTCCTGTCAAATGTGTATCTAGACCAGGTGCTCAAATATTTATTACATGAATTAATGAGGCAACACGGCTTACTTAATGCTTCTGAGGCACACATCAATGCCTCAGTTGTTACCCAGTTCTTACCCATTTTTCCTTGTCAAATCTTATCTATCCTTCAAGACTCCACCTGCAATTTTTTTTTTTTTTTTGAGGAAATGAACATTGTAAGTTGTAACTGAACATGTTTCTTGCCTTGCTCGGTTAGCTAAGAAACTTACTGTGAAGTTGTTGGCCTATTCTTTAGCAACTATATAAGATTGTAAAGTTACTTACTGGACACTTATCTTTAACCCTGGCTTTTATTTTCTTTCATAATTATTCTCCACTGTAACTTCCTCCAGTATACATCTTTTTTATAGTCTAGCTATTTTTTTCCTATGCCACCCTAAGACATTTGGGAAATGATATGATGATAAATAAGTCATTCCCAATGTGTTATTCTCCTGTGTCAGGTACCCCAGGAAGCAGATGCCAAGGTCAAGTTAGAAGTGCAGAAAATCTGTTTGGGGTAATGCCTATGAACAAAACATGAAGGGGTGAAGGAGCAGCAGTGGGCAGGGAAACCTGCTGGACTGTGATGCATTTGCCATCTAGGAAAGAAGATGGAGAAAGACAGACTGGGCAGGAAAGCCTCTGACTGCAGTGCAGCTCTGAGGAGGTCGCGCCAGCCTGAGTTCTGGCGTGAAGATGGCCCATAAAGGAGTGCTTGCTTCGGTGGAAATGGCCAGGCCCAGAACTCCAGCTGTGCTCTGCCGGGGCTGCCTTGGAAGAGTGCGGCTTTGGATTAAATGCTGGGCTGGATCCTGCAGGATCTACAGCTGGAGGCTGTCAGCTATCTGGACCCCTTCAGGTGGGGTCTCCCCTGAAGGCATGTCTGAGCTGCCCCCTTCAAGGGGGAGGCACCTCCCAATTATACTGACCACTCCTGGAGGCAAATAGTGTCTTATCCCTTTTGCAACCTTGCCAGTATTACAAGTGTCCAGTTAATACTGGCTTAGCATCCCAAATTCAAAAATCTAAAATCTGAAACTTTTTGAGCACTGACATGATGCCCAAAGGAAATGCTCACTGGAGCATTTTGGATTTCAGACTTGGGATTGCTCACCTGGTAATGCAAATATTCCAAAATCTGAAAAAATCCAAAATCCAAAACACTTCTAGTCCTGAGCATTTTGGATAAAGGATACTCAACTTGTATTTCTTAGTACTTCTTTTCACAAAACCATCGTAACATAATAGGATAGCATGTTTCATAGGCAGTACCCCCAACAGACAAAGTTCTGGATTCACATCTCAGGGTTTTTTTTTTTTTCCCCCAGCCAAATATAGCTGGAAGCTAGTGTAAACAGTTTAACTTCTCCGAACAGCTAAAATGAGCTTAATAATAGTTTACTCCCAGAGTTGCTAGGATTAAATAAAATGCCTAATTCAGTGTCTGATGTTTAGGAGGTGTTGTGTAAATGTTCTTCTCTCCTTTACTCTTCTCTTTTGAAAAATACTTAATTGTGGGATAAAGCACTTCTGTAAATACTTTCTAAGCTAATTTAGATTTGGTATTATTTTTAAGAAGTTGAGACTAAAAAGTTCATGGCTGACTCAAGCTCACACAGGCCAAAAAAAAAAAAAAGCAGGGGCAAGATGTGAACTCAAGTCCTCTGGTTTTGATCTCAGCACTGTTTATGTACAATTGGCAGGTTTCAGGAAAATGAGCTGCAATGTTCTATCATACAGCTACTGCCAGAAACGTGACTATGTAGGTGGATTATGTTGACAAAGTGGGCAGGGAAAGATTCTGGGACTGAAAATCTGAAAAAGAAGGCAAATAATTAAACAACGTAAATGAAAAGTGAATAGAGACTACTGCTGAGAACAAAAAATAAATTCTTAAGCCCCCGCAACCAACTGAACAGAACCCTCTTGGCCAAGGGAACCCCACAGAAACCTTAAAAACTGAGTTCCTGGCCATAACAGGATGGGAGGGTGGACATACCTCATTATACCCCCTCCCTTTTGTGGGTTAGACACAACAATAGACCTGCATTAATGTTAAAATAGAGATCATAAAACTGACAGAATAAGAGATCAAATTGTAAACGAGACCTAAGGCCATGCCAGGCTAGGGTTAAGTTACGTACACCTACACTTGAAGATAAATTATGTTCAAACTGCCACAAGGTTTATCTCTTTCTCTAGCAGCTAAACAAGCACTGGCCTCAAGATAAGCAATATTAAAATGATTGCATTTGTTGAGAATTTTCTTATTTAAAAAAATGAAAAAAAAAACCATAAAAAAAATTGTAGCTCATCCACTGCCAGGCGCTCACTGACCCCGCCTGTTCCACAAGCCATAACTACAGCTTTGATTGAACAAGAGAACGATTTCAGTAACCTTTTCTCCTATGAGACCACCGACCATGGACTGGTTCTGGTCAATTTACAAAGGTTGCCCTCTTGAATGCCTTTGTACCTTTGCTTAACCTTTTGATACATGGGGACTAATTGTAATACATTTAAATGTTAAGTCTCCACCCCAGAGTAAACATGGGACGCATATGACATGCATGTTTGCTTACCACCCATGCATGCATTCCCCCTTCGTGAAAATGCATAGATCCTCCTATAACCTGTTGAATATGTATACTTGGCCAACCTGTTGAGCATAAATCCCTGTTCTACCCTCTGCTCCCTCGAAGTGCTTGCCTCTGGTTTTGGCCCAAGGCCCACTTCCCAGCCTACAGGTTGTAACCCTTTATAACAAATAAAGTCTCTTTTCCAAATTTATGAAGACCTCGTGATTCTTAAGTTGACACTCCATATATTTTAATCACATAAGCTCATTGATAGAATAGGGAGATTTTAGGCCTAAACAATCTATCCAGAAAACTGTTTAAGAAAAATGGCTTTTCCTAGGCCTGAAAATATACAGGGAAAGAGCTTCTTTCCAGAACGATTCAGTGACACTACTACTGTGATTCTGCATTTCTGTTTCCTGCCTAAGTATATTACACACAGCATTGGAAGGATGGTCTTTGAGCCAAATGCCTGCCAAAGCCACCTTTTCTGTGTTTTGTCATAATTTATTCCTAAAATGTTTGAAGTCTCTGGTTTTGAAATGCTAGGGATCTTGGTTAAAAATGACTTCCTCATAAATGAAGTTCAGTTAAAGTCATTGTGAGTATAACATTGTAGGGCTTTGTTGCTTTTACCGCTTTCATAATTTGGGATGACTCATTCTAGCCCAGCCATCTCAATAGTTTCCTGTTTCCTTTCTTTCCCATTACAATTTACAAACAGTAGCTGATCAATATGCCAGCAAAGTTAATGGATACAACATGGTATCCTTTCTAGTTCTTAAGTGTCCATGCAGTCTCTTATCTATGTGGCATTCTCAGGGTTAGTTTCATTCCTGTGGCCTGTAAGTTTAAGTCAAATATATTTATAATGGCCTCATTGCATTCTCCCCTCCAGTTTTCCTGGGGGGTTCATCTAGGAACAGCTTTAGTCTCTATACTTACTTTGTGTGTTTTCCGGAAACATTTTAAGTCAACCCTGAGCCTGAACACTCAGACTACTCACTAATCTGTGATGACATTCTAGGTCTATTCTGTTTAGGTACTTTTCTTCTCATGCCTTTCTCCACATCTCTGCTGCTTGAAATGCTACTTACTCTTCAAACTGCAGCTTAAATGGCCTCTTAGCTATACTCCTCCCAACAATAACAAAACAAAAAACCAGTAACAATTTTTCCTAAATCCTGAAACATTTGGCTTGGCTGTATTATGAAACTTATTAGAACATTCTGTAAAATAGCTATCTGTGCTTAGATCTGATCTTTTCTTTATATTTTAAATTCCTTCAAAGCAAAGATTGTTTTAAATTTTTCATAAATGGTTAACAGAAATGTCAATAAATTTGTTAATGATTTCTATATTGACAAATCAATTTCTATATTTCCAATGGTGGAAATTTAGGATGAAGTGGAACAAAACTTTTGTTAGTCTCATGAAATAAATATAATTTGATGTATGATGAGCTGTAAATCAACAATTTGGCAATTTCATGACTCAAGTGCAAAAAACGATCTGCCTTAATGCATGGTTGTCTACAGAAAATTTAGACCAGTAATTTTATTACTTTATAAAAGATCAAAAAGCTGCTGGTTTAGAAGTTGATTTCCTAAGTGTTTTCTTCTGTTTTTGGTATATGTCTACTTATGAATATATATATGTATATACATGATCTCCTATCCAGTGTTTAATTAAAATTCCAACATTGTGCTTCATTACTACTCTTATTTTCCCTAACAGTTATGAAAATTATGATTGTGCTATGTTAGTAAATTTCCTTCCAAGGAAAATTGGATGGACTTTCAGACCTTAAAGGTATTTAAATTTTGTTTCTCAAACAACACCTTACACAAGTGGTAGACTTTATCACTGTATAAAAATGTACAGTGGTTTTATTGACATGTACATTCCAATATGTTTACAGCTGCAAGATAATGAGGCACACTCAGTATTGCACTTCATTAAAATTTCAGGCTCAAACTTAACCTAGAAGTTTAAATGAAACTGCATTTGTAATTTAGTAATTCTTATACAGGACAAACATTGATATCTTTATATACAGTGTGATACTTATTACATTTATATGCTGTCCTAACACAATTTTTTTTTTTAAATAACAGTCTAGGAAATAAACCAGAATATTCCTCTTTTTATCCCCACCTGTGATGCAATTGTACAGGATTACAAAAAGGCAGTATACAATAAACAATGATTATTTTTCTTTTTTGCTTGAAAGCCAGCATCATTCTTAGTCCATGGGCATGGTGATTTTTTTTTATATCAATTATCTATAAATGTCCAATGTTTCACAGGCCAATGACGGTAATGGCCACATGCAAACACCTCACAAGTTTGATGTCTTGGTTCAAAAGAAGAGAAACCAAAGTAATGGGGAAACTTTCCATAGCAAGAATTATGTACATGGTATTTGGCATCCTTCTTGCACTGTGAATGGTTCATTTTCATGGATGTAAAAATGGTCCCGTACTTATCCTGAGCAGAGTTTAAACTTCACCGCATCCTCTTGGGGGATGAAGGCAACTTTTCTTTCTGTAGACAAAGGATCTGAGTGTTCTAAAAAGTGTGAGCATTTCGGCACACTCCACACCCCAGAGCAAACTCTTCGCCGGTGGGTGGATGAACAACATGGAGCGGACATTCAGTTCCTTCTAACTGTTTGCCTTTGGGACCTGTATAAATTTTGGAGGAGGCATAGGAATATAATTAAAAAAAAATACACACATACAAACCTCATAGAAATAGAAATCACTGATAAATTATTCAAAGAAATAACATGACTGTGGTTATACAAATATAAAACTAAAAAAATTTCTTCTAATGAGAAAAGAAAAAATGTTCACCATAAAAAATTGAACGTAAGAAATACATATATAACAGAGGAAGTGACACAGTCCCTTACTCATAACATCCTGCCTAGAAAGAACCAACACGAGCTACAGATCTTTTTCTACTAATAAATGAATTAGATATGTCATTTTAAAGCAAAGAGCAATAAAAATAGTCATAAAATCCCTCAATTTAGTCTAGTAGAAGATTATGCTAAATGGGAAAACAGGGAAATTTTTGTATGGGATGTTTTTCTACAAGTAAAAATAAATTTAAATCAACAATAAATTAGGGTATACTTTAAAATAACTAAAAGAGTGGAATTGGAAGGTTCCTAACAGAAAGAAATGATAAATGCCTGAGGTGATGGATACCTCAATTATCCTTATTTGATTAATTCATATTGTATGCATGTATCAAAACATCACGTGTACTGTATAAATATATATATATTATGTACCCCTAATAATTAAAAATAAAAAATTAAAAAAAATTTAAGTATAAGCCATGTTTCCCTTTTACCTTTACTAATGATAAAGAACACATTGGTAAAATGGGAAGATTAATTATTAGTGTTATTTTAAAAAGTATCTGAAGGGAGATTAGTAGGAAAATGAAAATTAATCAGCTTAAAAATATGAACAGTAAAATAATATACAATTTCTGGAAGAAACACTGGGGAGGATATAAATTTATAGATAATAAATAAACTAGGCTTATAAAATGTCTAAAAAACAGTACCGTTTTATTTTTTAAAAGCAACTTGTTAATGTGCTTCATGTCATGTGTTTCATAACATTTAAAAAGGATTTTTCGCTCCTTTATAAACAAGGAGGTTTACTTTGTTGGGAATACAAGTGAGGATTATACTCGAATGCAGAGTCCCTATTTAGGAGTAGAAGGAGGAATAGGAACTGTACAATAGTTTTCAAAATAATATGTGTAAGTTCTGATTTTGTTTGAAAGGAAAATATTATGAGATTAGACGGAATGAGCTTATCCAGACCAATGGAGAATGACATCTCAGCTCTTAGTCTGGCACAGTATAAATACCCAATAAATATTAGCTATTCCTGAACAACTAAAAACTGAAGCCTGACCTAGAGGAATAAAAAGTAAGTTCTATATAAGATTAAGACCAAGGCATGAGGGTAAGTATCAGACCTAAGATAGCCAATCTCAGAGAGAGAAGTCAACTGCTGGTTTAAGCTAACAGACACAAGAGCCACAGTTAGTGCTGCCTCAAACAAATGCAGGCACAGACCCTGGGATGGGTCGACATGGGATGACACCAGAGGTTTGCCAGAGAGTTAATTATTCCTGTTTTAAATTATAAAGTAGGTTGTTATCTCCCATCCCAACCCAAATCACACTGGTGCCCACCCCACCAATGGGTGGGGACCGGGGGAGGGAGGGGACCCTCAACGGCAGCTCTAGTTCAGGTACACAACACCACCAGTGGCAGCTCATGCAAACTGCAGTCCTTGGGGTTTTTCAGGGGAAAAATAAGGAAAAGGAGTTCAGGTACTCAACAAATATTTACTGAGTGCCTAATGTGTGAATGGTGTTGTTAGGTACTTGGGATGTAAAGGTGTAAACAATACATGACCTCTACCTTCAAAGAGTTCATAATCTAATCTGATGATGAGAAGTAATAATAGTAAAATTAAAAACAAAACAAAAAGCACCTGCAAACATTTGAGGGCTTACTACTGAGGCACACTGTTCAAGTACATCAACCACTTAATGCTCTAACGGTCATAGGAGGAAGAAACTATTATCCTCATTTTTAAGATAAGGAAACAGGCAAAATTAACTTAATTTTTCTGATTCTTAGATTCTTCATCTTTAAAATAGGCATAACAATATCTAACTCACAGGGTGCTGTGAAGATTAAGTATCTTGGCAAGAAGAAGGTAGCCAAATATTTTAGAAAGAAATGGACAGAGGGATGATGCTATGATCTGAATGTTTTTGTGTCTCCAAAACTTGTACGTTGACGTGTTAACACCAATGTCATAGAGTGAGGAGGTGGGACTTTGGAAGGTGATTAGGTCATGGGGTGGAGCCCATGAGTGGGATTAATGCTCTTATTATAAATGAGACCTGACAGAGACCCTTGACTTTCTGAAGCTCACTGTGCTGCCAATTCCCAGCCATTTTAGATCAAATCACTTGTTTATTTTATGGCACTGGTTCCAGGCTTCTTCAAAAAAAAAAAATCACAAAATCCTTCAATCACATGGCCCTTTAGTGCTGAACAACAATCTTTTTTACTAATCCTTAGTAGATGTCATTCTCATTCCCTAAGAGATCTGCTCCATTATAGCTTCTAACTCTTCACTCATAATGGTGAGCTTACTTTTTACTTCACTGGGAAAGTCATAAGCTTATACAAGGGTCAAGGAATTCCCTCTGCTTCTTTAGGCTAGTTTGAATTGGGTTTCCATCACTTGAAACAAAGAGTTCTCATATACCATATAAAACATGATCATAATTTCAAAATATTAAAAGCATACCTGCAGGACAGTGTGGTAGTTCTTCCTTAGGAATGCTAGTCATTCTTTGAAAATCATCATGACAAGCATTACAAAAATGTGTTGTTCCAAAACAGAAAAAGACAGCCACTGAACAGCAGTAGCGACATTTATATTCTAAAAAGTCTGTGCCATGTTTAGGACACATCTATAGCAAAAGAAAAGAGACAGATATAAGATTATAGTAATACTATTTCAATTATACTTAAGATAGTCATAAATGTGTGTATATGTGTGTGTGTGTATATATATATATATAGCTCATTAATTCATATTTTGAAAGCATACATAGCTTTCAAAATTGGTTGAAAAACTGATATATACATATGTTAAAAATATACCATACATAATGATATATACATGTTAAACATATATACATATGTTAACAAATAAATATGTGGCTTTGCCAAAAAGGTCTGGACAAAGATCCAAGTTCTAATCCCATCTCCATCATAAACTATATGATTTAATAAGCAAATCACTTAATTTCTTTAATGGTTCCTGGTCTGTCAAATTGAAAATTAATAATATTTCATCTATCTCCCAATCTCATGGCTGTACTGGGAAGATTTCCTAAAAGTTTCATTGTAGGTTTAAGAAAACTAAATAAGTAAATTTGTTACTTCTTTAAATATGGTGATCATTTCATAGAAGACAAAATTACAAAATAAAAATACCATCCAAAAAAATAATATATATGAAATAATTTGAAAAATTATACAATGCTGTACAAATATCAGAAGACACTGGGGAAAAAAACTTGAATTTTACCACCATATTGGTTATATTATTATTTAAAAGTAGAATTTTAACATTTTTAAACTGTCCTTTCTAACAAAAATATTCTGCCCACCTGAGCCCTGGACACATCAGAACAGGCACCACAAATGAGCTCTCTGGGATCATAATCATCCCCTTGTCCAGCCTCAGCATCACAGCGAGCTTCACCACCAAAATACGCCTATGGAGAGAATATGGAGAGAAAACTCTGGAATGGGAGATACAGAGTAGGCACAATGAAAATAAGATCAAGAGGTCTTAGAAAATACTACTGTCTATGAGATAGTCCCTTGAAATGCCAAGTGCATGCTCGCACTGCCTACTGGACAGTGGGTCAGGGCAACACATAAAGCTATTTCAATTCTGGATTGGATTCAAGCTTACAGGAGGGAGTTACCTTGTACTGTGACAAAGCGAAATGACAAAAAGACAAAAAACGTATGATATCCCAAATTAATACCAAGAACACAATATTACATAGTAAATAGAAACTGTGTTTTTTCAGGGTAAAGTCTACTGAGTAATTTTTTTCATTTTGAAATATTAAGCAACATAGTCCTTTCTATTGCTTTAAAAATATGCTAGTAATTCCCAAATTATAATACTATAGAACAAAAAAATGTGCCTAAAATAAATTATTAGTGCAGAACTGTAATTCCAAGGCTAACGGGAAAAAAAAATCAATTTTAAGCATCTTCTGATCACACATTTTTTTAAAAAGGAAAGGTAAATTTGGTAATTCTATTCAGGATACTGTTCATACTTACAAAGCTATACAACAGTATCCAATACAGACACTTGAAAAAATGAAATTATCATGATGGATGACTTACCTGTATTTGCTCTGGGCACAAAATAAATGAGGTCAAGAAATTGGGACAATATGCATGCACATCATGTCCCACAGTCAAAAGGCTATGTCCAAATTGGCAATAAACAGGCTGAGTGAATAGAAGTCTATTATCTATACTAGAAAAACAGGTCAAACAATAGGATCCACTGACGCAGAGGTTATAAATGGTTGTCCACCAGCTAAATCTGACTTTAGAAGTATTTCAGTTTGTGCTGGGGCCTATTGCTTATTCCAACTGTTTCACTTTTCTATAGCCTCTACCTGGCTTCATAACCATTCGACTGTCACCCCTGTGGCAGCACAATATTCATTGATTGATGTAGCACATTAAACATATAGGAAGGATATTTTATTGTTTGTAACAAGTTTCACAAATGTACGCTATTGGGTGTATGTATATTTGTCTGCCTTTCTGGCTATCATACATCTATTTAGCCTGCCGTTCATAATCTACATTTTCTTTCTGTTACATTAAGGGACTAGACATCTTTCGTTTAGGCATTCTTTCACTCATTTATTCATTTTTTACTTAACTTAGTATCTAGTAAGTGCCAAGTACTAGAGACAGAGAAATAAAACATCAAAGTCTTTGTCCTCATGGAATTTACCAAGTGGGGCAGACAGACAAGTAAGCCAGTAATCACAATGCAGAATACAAAGTGCTAAGATGGATATATACAAGCTATCAAGATCGTGTGGTGGTGGTGGTGAGATGGGGAAACTTGAGCTAAATCCTGAAGTATGGTAAGACAGGCCTGGCTCTGCATGACAGCATATGTGTATGGGGTGGGGCTGGCTGGTGAGAGTAAAATGCATAGGAGGAGGCGGAGAAGAGCAATGGCCTGCGCAATGGCATGGAGGTGCCACTGAGTGAGCAAACGTGGCTGAGTCTGGGGAAACACAAGCTGTGCAGTATGTTGTAGCATGGACAGCAAATGGTGGCATACTGGGAGCTGAGGCGGGAGAGGCAGCCTGGGCTACAGGATTCTAAGTAGAAGAACGACACAATTAGATCTGAGATCCAGAAATATTAATCTGCTACTAGCGGTGTAAGTGTAAGGGATGGAATGGGGTTAGGGACTCCACCAAAGAGCTCAGGAAGGCGGCTACTATAATTACCAAAGAAAATGATCAGGGTTGCTGAAGATGTAATAGAAAAAAAGGACAAGAGAGATTTGGAGACAGAATTGACAGGACTTGTAAATAAAGATTAGAGATTGGGAGAGTCAAGATTGATGAATTTAAAACCAGACATGTGAACTTTGAAGTATGAGGTAGAAATCCAAATGTCTGGTAGGCAGCTGAGTATCTGTATCTAAATCTCAAAAATTTGGTAGGTCATAATAGTATAGGTGGTAGGGGGAAGCACAGATGTACAGGAGGTCATCAAAGGCAAGGAGGTATTGATGGAAGCTCTGGGAAAACAACTATTTAAGGTGTAGGTAAAAAAAAAAAGGAACCAATGAAGAAGTTAAAGACAAATGACCAGAAAGAAGGGACATCGAAAGAAAGTGTTGTCCTGGAAGCCAAGGAAATAAGAATTTTAAGGAAGAAATAAATAGTTAGCAGAATCAAGTAAGAGAAATGTATTAAAGAATCAACTGGATTGGGCAAACAGGAGGTTACTACTGATGGAAAAGTAGCTTGTGTAAAGAAATACTACATGTTTTTTAAAAAGTCTGTAAGGTAAAATAAAAAAAAAATCCCCAAACAAATTAAGTAAACAAATTCAACCTGAAACTGTACCAAGCTGTCTCATTTTTAACTTTAGGCTTAAGATGTAAGAATAATTAGATATCATTACACAATTCAAATTCTTAATCATATAGGTAAGCTCTAGTTATTAAAAATTCTTAATATAATTTATAGCATACCTTTCTGCATTTGTAGCAGACATAATATGCGTATCTATTCATTGCGTAGCCAGCTGGGTCATTATAAAACCTCACACCAGGAGTTGTGATAGCTTCACTCTTATGCAGACCTTCATATTCCAATCTCATTAAGGCTTTTCTTCTGACATCCTCATAGAGTTCTTTTATTGGATCAAGCAGATCTTTTAATACTATGTGGTTTATTTTGTTCTGAAATTAAAAAATGAAAATCCTTTAACAGAATCATTTACTAATCAATTTCACAAACACTTAGTATGTACCCAAGTGCCAAGCACTGTGCTAGGAGATAACCAGATGGTACTCATATTTTAAATAAAATGCCATTTAAAAATAATCCTGTAAAGTCCTTACAAACTCATATTTTCCCAAAAGCAGGGAAAATGGAAGCAAATGGGGCGCAGAGCATACAAATTCCATTTTATTAGTTTTATATTTCCTGAGTCTAAAATATATCTCCTGCAACCTTAGCTGTTCCGGAAATAAAGTTTCCTTGCTGCCACAAATAAGAGACACTCCCTCTGTGTGTGTATGTTTCGATTCCTTGAGGGTAGGGTAGAATGTTAGGTGATGGAAGTAAATAGGTAGCACTTTCTATACCACCTTCATTTATCTATTTCCAAATTCCTAAATGTGACCTATCTTTGTGTTACCATTTGAGAGGGGAGAGCAAAATACTACAATCTTTTTGATTATTCCTCAGTCTAACTAGGCAATAACTGTGCTAAGTTTTCCCATATTATATCCTTTACACTAGTTTGCAAATATGAAGATAAGAAAATAGAGAAAGCTTAATAGAACAAAAAAGAATGATGAATTAATAGGGAAGGCTTTGCCATGTTCTTAAAGGCTTTTTGTTAATCATTATTAGCTTGCCAAAACAACTTCCTACTTGCTTACTACCTTTGTGGAGATCTGTCAAAATGCCAAGAATTTTCTGCTTATTTTAGCTGAGTTCTAAAAGAACCTGTTCCAATGGCACTGAAGGTTCTGATTTCACTCTTTAATGGCAGGTATCACTACCTACAAACACCAAAGGATCCTTCTTCTTTTTGGTAGTTGCCCACTGTCATGTCATGTGATCTGAGCTCTCAGGGAGTCTGAAAGTAGTGAGGCATGCCCTTTGTTGCACTGTCACACCTATGTGAATTTCTCATGCAATATGTTTAATAGAATTTAACCAGTTTTTAATTGACAATTACTGTTTTGAAATGCATTACAGAAGAGAGGTAATGTAATATTTTCAGGTTCCACATGGATGAAGAGGGCAGAAACTGCTCAGAGCTGGTGTGTAAAAAGTAAACTGGGAAGGACATCAAGAGATGCTTACACATTTATTTTGAAAGAAGAAAATAAAGATGAGAAGAATCAGAAAGTAGATGATTTCAGACTCTTTCCATACCTTGCAAATAGGACAAGATATAAATCCAAATGTTATCCTTGGGCCGAGCCATCTATTTTCTAAAACTCGCCGACAGCACTGTAAGTGGAACACGTGACTACAGTCCAGCTTAAATAAACAAAAGAGAAGACTGTAAGCAAATATAATAATGATAAACACATAAGTAACTGGGAGATAATTCAATACAAGGTGTTATTTAAAGCAGATAAGAGAAATATCAAGAAATTTAGTACAATAACATTTCAGAACTTCTCCATTATTTATGGGACATTATTAACTAGGCCTTCAGCTTCTCCCATTTTTTCCATTTATATATTAATGCCATCTATATAAAGTAAGCCAGGTTAGGGAGAAAAGTAAAATTATTCAATTTTGTATCTCATGGAAAGAGGAGGAAACTACTGACTTAAAGATTTAAGATTTTTTTTGAGAATATTCATTATCTTAGAAACACAAGAACTGAAAATACACATTAACAATAGGTAAAAGTTAAAAGAAAACTTATTTAGCACACAGTAGCTTCTATTATATATAGAAAAGTATGTATCATTATAGATCAATTACATAATGCCATAAAAATACCATTTTGGATTTTGGAAATTAAGAAGAGAATAGCTACTGGATAATCTAATTATTTTCTCCCCTTCTGAACATTTTATACATTCTATTAATTACAAAGGCTTACGCAAATCACAAATTAAAGCTGAGCATATGCAGTGGGAAGCAGAACAAAAAGAGGGAGAATTTGCTCCTCATTAACCTGGTCAATACATATATTAAAAGAACATTTTTGCCTAGTGATATCAAAAAAGATTTCAATCATTTTTTTATTTGACAAATATATTTACATTTCTACATGTTCAAGTCTAGGTACATTCAATGTATTAAAAGCGGAGGAAACCTGAATGGCTGGTGCTGCAGAGAGTGCTTCAGTGAAACATATCATGCACATGTCATCTGCATCCTGCTTCAGTGTGGTGGCACTTTTATCACAGCCGTGTAGACAGGGCAAACAATGCTCTTCATTTTTAACACCTCCACATGGGTGTCCACAAGGATGTGTCTTACTACAGGCTATCTTAGCATATTCCTGTTGAAGATGAATTATAATGGTACTCAAGTATTTAAAAAGGCACACACTCTGGTAATTTTACCTATTATATAAATTTCCCAAGATTATTTTTGCACAGGATATACCTATGAAGGCTGAGTAACAACAAAGTTATTTTCTATTCTTTGTTTGAATATAATTTAGAATACTAACAAAATATGTTTTTCTTTTAATGTGATTTTTAAAAAATTTCACTCCATGTAAAGGAAATGCTGATAAAAAGTAAATTATAATTTTATATTTGTTATCATGCATAACCATAAAGCAAAAAGTTCCTGACATAAACAATTTTCCAATTACCACTTCCCCCTCACCAAAACGGAAGAAAAAAACACCAGATACCTCTCACTCTCTGAGTATATCCAAATTCTTGTTAAATTAATTGAGGAACCAAAAACATTTGGATAACACGGAATATGGGTATATATGTTTGGGACTAAAGAACTCTCAGATACTTAAAATTTATTTTAGGCAAATAAGTGAATAAAGTATTTATGAGGTAAAGGAAATGAAGTCCTTAGATTTTTAACTGCTTTATTAAATACATATGATCATGGTAGTTGAGAAACATGCGGCAAGAGTCTGGTTTGGGATTGACAGCCTTTTTTGATCCATTCTCCAGCTTTAATAAAGCATTTAACTCTTGGCATACATAACGCACTTATTTAGAAAGCTGGAGTGATGCTGAGCTATAATTCTTATTTACATGAGGTAAAGGTGTCACATGGGAATATGTGCTATTCCTCACTGGGACGGCCTGACTGTATAACTACATACTCACCTGGCAATCTGCATCGGAACAAACACTGCCAACTGCAGATAACTCTGTTCCACTCCTGGAACCACAGAAACGACATGCTTCCGAGCTACTTGTGGTGGGTTTACCTAGGTTCAAGCAGAAAAAGAAAAATCTTCCTTAAGGACACGTTTTCTACATATTTTAATATAACTAATTAAGATAAAAAAGCAAACTAGGTTTATATCAATTGCCATCACTGGGAAATCAGCCTGATAGTTTTATAGCTAAAGGGTTATAAGTTGCCCTAATTATAAAACGAATAATCATAAAAAAAGGGATGAGAAACTAACACCTATATGAAGCCAAATAAATTCTTGACGGATTTATTTTTACTTTTTCAATATAAGAAACAGACTAGATCTCCAATCAAGTTACCAGACTGAGCAAATGTGGCAAGCCCCTCACTGGAAATGCACAATAACAGATAAAATATAATAACCAAAATTAAATAAAAATACATAGAAGATAGGGAAATATTTAAGTATCTTTACATAATAACAAAATTATAAGGCATGGAAGAAACCCTATCATCAGAGTAGGAAACTAGAAAAACAGAAGAATTGCTACCCAAGGAACTCTGCAATTTGAAAAGGAATTTAGATATGTTTGAAACATTTAAAGCAGGAAAAGAATCCACACAACAAGAACAGAGCAATAAGAAAAAGAACATGAAGATTTGAATATTAATGATCAAGCTCATTTTAAACACAGATATAAAAATCTGAATATAATATCAATACATTGAATTGAGGAATATTTATAGAAAAATGTTTTTAAAAGGAATAGTTTATATCATGAATATAAGCATGGCTCAACATTAGAACATTTATTAATGTAATATATGGCACTGACAGATTATAGGAGAAAAAAATCAGCTATGAGAAAAAAATGCCATGCTCTGATAGCATGAAAAGTCATTCATATTTATTTAGAGTTAAACTGATGCAAGTTTACACCTAACTTCAACATCAAGTTTTTGTCAGACAAATAGCATGCTGCAAATGTGCTGAAAATTGAGAATTTGTATGATTCAATGTAACTTTAAGCTAGGAATATGTAAGATTTATTTTAAAGTAAAATGAAAACTATGTCTTAGAGAGGAAAGTACATTAAACATACATAAGTTACTTTTTGTCCAAAATAATGTCTATTCATTTTTGTTAATTATTTTATTACTATCAATAGAAATATACCATTCAGAAAACCTTGGGAAGCACTAGGTTTACAAAAACCTCTGAAAATATCATTAAGTCATACAACCTTACAGTTAAAAGAGATCTTAGTGATCATTATGTGCAGCAATTCTTACTGTGGAGCTACAGTTAACAGAACTAGAAGAGAGTATCAATAACTACGTTTTATCTATGAAGCCTCCATTAGCTGTTATGCTTACTTATGGGAAATGTATTTGATACTTCTGAAAACTATCAGTCATGGGTGTCTCTGGACAACTGTCTCACTTTATAAATGAAGAGAGTGGGTTCTAGAAAGGTTAACTTACTTGTTCAAGGTTGCACAGGTAGTTAGTGACACACCAGGTTTCCTGACTTTTAGTCTAATGCTTTTTCTACCACAAAACACTGTCTATGTCTAGTAAATATAATAATATAGACAGTGATCAATGATGTCATAATTAAACATCAGAATATCACCCAAAATTATTCACATTAAAAGAAGTAAAACCTAGTTTAGTCATAATCAGTAGGCATGGTTCAGTCTTAGTTTTTTAAAGGCATGGTTCAATCTTTAATCCTCTTTTACCTGTGTGTTCTCGGAATTCCACCATTGCCTTCATTGTTTTAGAATCTGCCAGTGCCATCAACCAGAACAATTTGGTTCTACCACAACCTTCATGAAGATCAACCTTTATAGCTTCTTCTTCTTCTTTGAATACCTATTGTTTCATTAAAGAAAAGAGAAAAACATACTTACTTATTACTCCGAAAGAGGAAATATAATTTAATTATTCAATAATAATAATAATAATGGCTTTCGTTTATGAAGCATCCTAAAAAGTTCCAGATATTTCCAATCTTCTCCTCTTTAATCTTCACAACAGCCCCATTTTTACAGATGTAGAAACTACATGTTGGAAAGGTTAAACAACCTGCTAAATTTATATTTGATAAGCAAGATAGCTGGGAGCTCAACAAAGGTCTTTGATTCCAAAGTCCTTTTTTTTCCCATTAAACTAAGCTTCTTTCCCACACTTATTTAAAAATTCATTGACTATATTTTATGTTCCAGATACCATTCTGGGTATAAAGACAGAAATGTCACCTGTCTTTGATGAGTTTTGGTTCGTCGATGAAGATGAAGGAATCTGTCACAGTCAGTACATAAATTTCCACAGACATTGCATAAAATGATTGCTGCAGTTTCACCATCATCGTGATTATCACACATAGGCTAAGATAAGACATTTCCATGTGTTACATTAGATTAACAAGAAAGTCTTAGACATTCATAGAAATCGAAATTTATTTACAATAACAAACTGTTACTCTGAAGTCCTTTAAGAATTTAGAATATGAATGTTAAATAGCAGTATTGCAAGTGTACTTAACTATAAAAATCTCTGAAAATCCCATAATGTGCTATGTAGACTCAATGATTAATAAAGTGAACATGTATATTTTGCTTAGTGAATTAAGAAATATTTTCTCCATTATATAGCCAAACATTCTGTATGCTAAATGAATAAAAGGATTCATTTTTGAAACCTAAACATTAATAAGAAAATATTAAAAGGGCCTATATAAAAGTCTTCCCTTCCAGTGAACCTAAAAATCCCATCAAAGCTACTTTAAGTACATATGTGAATAGGTGGTGTGTTATGTTGCCTGTCTTACTGCTTTATTTCCTCCTTCCCTCCATAAGACTGATTACATTTTAGTATAATATCTAGACACAGAATCCAATTCTGGCTGAAAATAAATTTTGATTTAAAATTACTCAGACAAGCACAAGAAAGCTCTTTTGCATAATTAAATAAAAGCCCCTAAAGTTTCCAATATACTATGAAGAGGGGACTGTAAGTGAAATAGACTTGTGCGATAAACTTGGCCTATAGGACACAATTTTTAAAGAGTTCCACTAACTGTATTTAGACTTGCTGGGTTTTTTTACGCTAAGCTAAAAACAAGATAAATTCTTATAAAATAATTCTGGTCTTACCATTTGTTTTTGTTGCCCATCTTTTCCCATCCATCTCCCTGAGGAGAGACGATCTACATGGTCCTGATCAAGAACACACAGTGACGCTAGAGCGAGCCAGAGCTGTTGAAAGGAAAAGCTGTTATACCGCTGAATTTTTAGAAAAGACTTATAAAATGCTAACGTATGACATTACGACAGCTCAGTAAATGCTGGCTGCCTTGGAAAATACATAGATATTCAGTGGCACTCAAGTTTTCCTGAGGTGGTACCAGGCACATACAATCACTGCCATATGTACCATGTACATAGTAGGCACTCAAGAATGTACTAAGCAAATGACTGTTTCTCTGATGAACCATCTGGTTTTCTACATAATACATGAAAGTATCCTTTATTGGTCTACTATGCAAACATATGAATAAATTAATTTGCATATTTAATGTACCTTACTTGCATATTTAATATTTACTGTACCTTTTGCATATTTTCCCATTTAATATCATTTGCCTGAGGCATTAAATTCCCAAGAAGGTGGGACAATAGCTGTTTAATTTTTCACAGTCCCATGAGGAGTTGGGTACATCCTTCCAGATAATAAGAGTTCCTCGGATGTCTTTGTTGCTCCAAGGAGTCTAGCACTATATTTGGTGTACTTTGTCATAAATAAATAAATGTTTAACAAACTTTAGAAAATTGCCCTCAAAAACAGTTTAAAAATTTCTGAGGCTTAAAGGGTAAGCTTTAGTTTTCCACACTTGACATATTCCTTCATTAATGAAAATAAGAAAGTAAGAAGTTCATGTGAGTGACTGGAGATGGAAAGCAAAAGACAGTGCATGCAAGGAGAAAATAAAGGAAAAGAACACTACTGGTTCCTGTCAAAAATACCCGCTTGAGGTGTCGCACTGGCAAGATAGCATTAACAGGCTTTTTCTGCCTTAAGGAAATCCAATTTATCTTCTTTTTCAGATTTCTGAGGACTAAGCTAAGCAATTTTTTATCAGCATCCACTTTTTCCTAATGCTATCTCATTGCTCTGCTTTAAGGAAATCTCAAATCTTTTCTGGAAGTATATGGGACATGACATATGGTTGATTAAAACTTACTATAAATGTCTCATCTGAAAAATGCAATCTCACTTACTCAGAGAGTCTATCCCACCCTGCTCTGGGCAAGTACTTTTTGCTTTTTAACAGTAAAACCTGTAAACCCAGTAAGTAAGCCATGGGGTCAACATTAGGAACAGCTAGTCCATACGAAAAGGAGTAGGAAGGGGCTTAGCCTACAAAGGACCTCCAGTCTATCACAGCATAAGGCTGACACTAAACTCACCGTGGAAAGCTACGAACAGAACATTAGAAAGACAATACACAAATACTCAACATAATTTAGCCTTTTCTAACCAGTATAACCTCAGCTTCCTGTTATAATAACAGAAACAAGTGATTATAGAACATATAACAGTGAAAAATGACTGCCACATATAGTTCATTATTTATAAAAGCTTTTTATATTTTTTCAGTAAGTATAATATGTGGTTAAAAAGGATTAACTTGACTTAGTGATTAAAATTTTTTTCAAATATATTACTGAAAAAGAATATGCCTTGACACAGACCAAATTAAAACAAACAAAAATACCTACTCTAGTTGTTGCAATACATCTCACTGGAGACCTAAATTCTTCTTCCATCTTAGTCAAGGCAATGATGGTTTCTGCAATAGCATTTTTTGTCACTCGGGACCAAGCTTCTGACAGATGACCCTATTGAGCAGGGCACAACATTTTAATAAGTAACCAGAAATGTATTATCATAGTAAATTCTTATCTCTTAAATAACATCTCTCACCAAAAGAAAAGATTTATTTGGAACAAGACCATGGGATTTTAGACCAAGGAGCACAGACTTCCGAACTAAAAATCCTTCACAACCCTATGGAAAATTCAACTTTGAATAATTATTTGATGATTTAAAAAAAAAAGTAAATACAAATTTAAGTTCTCAATATTCCTTGCTTGCAGAGTTCAAGGGCATTTCTTCTCCCATCTGGATAAAAACATACAGAAATGCTAAGGTTATCTATGCCTGAGAAATTTTATTACTTAACATAAAACTTATACAGCTAAGCCAACTGCTTTAGATGAAAGTATTACTGGTACCCAAGAGCATAAATGGGTTCAAAGTACTACTACTACCTTTATTTGCTAACTTGATTTGTAATGAACAGTCAACTATTATAGAATTTAGGTGTTCCTAAACATTTTCATCCAGTCAACACCCTGAGAAAGTCTGTTTGCCACAAAGATTGAGAAAATGTCCATGCTGTTGGGAAAAGTGATAGAACTTCATCTCTTCCTCAGAATATCCTCCCACTTTTCATATCCACATGTTATCACTCTTTTAAGGGGCGGTTTAATTCCTCCTTCTTCAAAATGCCTTCTATTCCCTCTGCCTCTCAGGGACCTATATTCCACAGTATCTTGTCCCCTTTGGGGTGGCTTCCTGGAAATACTATGGAATCTGTGAAAACTGACACTGTGGAGTAATGTAAGAGCCAGGCATTCTGTGAAGTAATTCCCTGCCCTGCACACTCCCAGATCTCCTCCCAAGGTCACCATCTTAAGACATTGGTGTAAGACGTTAATTAAGAAGAATACAGGCTTTATAAAAACCACAAACACTGAAGAGAATGAGAAACTTCTACTTCCGGGAGTCCTTTTTTCTCCTTTAGGCTTTTCAATTCCTTTCTTAAGGTCCAAAAGAATAAATTTTATTTTATTAAGTTTTAAAGTCTTGGAATACTTATGTAACAATTCTTACATAAATTAATTGGGATGTTTGAAATAAACATAGTTTACATAAATGATAAATTTACCACTCTTTGAAAAAACAAATAGCATAATAGTTAACATACTAAAAACAGTCTTCAGTAAAGCAAAATAACACTAATATACTCCTACTGTCAATTCAGCAGAGTAAGCTGTTTGTTTTGCCTATCAGATTCCTGCTGCACCTTAGTGTCATAATGGTTTGGGAGAAGGGGAACTTACTGCTGCCATATCCTTGATAAGTTTAATGATGATCTCTGAGATCTGGGTAGGAGTTGAGCCCTTCATCCACCAATGACTTTCACCTCGTCGAAGATAACTACAAAGAAAAATCAGAATTTATAAACCAACGAACTATCAGTGGTAGTTGTTACAAATGCAAAAGATGAAAATGTTATTTCAGCATGCAATATTTTAAATTTTTAAGTGACTGAATCGATTAAAACATTTTAAACTAAGATTAATCAAAACATTACCCAAAATCTAGCTCTTCAATCCCAAGACAGCAGCTAATTTGATTTATGTTCCTTTTCAAATATTTCTGTGTGCCTCTTCTAGTAGTCCATGGACCACAAACTATTTGTTTTCTGTGCACATGGAGACAATAAAAAGCGTGTGCCAGAATATAAATCAACTATATCACTAAGCACACCACTGTTTAGTTCAGCTGACATTTTTTCTCCCTAGCAAGTCTATCTATCTACATTAAGGAATTGATACATTGATTAATATTCTGGTGCTATCTATCTGCTTATTGTCATGGATTGGCTCTGTGAGTAGCACTGTTCTAGAAGTCTCAAATTTTCCACTGTTACACACACTTATAGAACATCTTTGCATATATATCTTTTTGCAAATGTATCAAAGTTTTAGAAGTAGAACTGGTGGGTTAAGGGATAATGCATACTTAAAATATAGTTAGATATTATCAAACTGACATTTAAAAAGGCTGCAGCAAATCATAATAGGTGAAAAGTCTATTTCCTTACAATGTTGCAAAACAAAGATATTCTGCAATTATTTTAATCTACATTTCTCTGATTAGTAGTGAGGTGTTTTTTTTTTTTTTATTGGCATTTGTAATTTTTTTTTCTGTGAACTATTCTTGTTATTTATTTTTCTATTAGTTGTTTGCCTTTTTCTCATTGATTTGTAGTCATTCTTCTAATATTATGGCTAATAATTCATTGCTTATTATATAGGTCTAAATATTTTTTTCCAAGTGAGTTGTTTATATTTACATTTAAGTAGTATCACCAATCACGTAATTTTCATTTTTATGTAGCCAAATATATAAGTCTTTTCCTATATCACTTTGGGTTCTGTGTTTCGTTTAAGGTCTTCCAAAATTGAAGATTACAAAAATATTCTTCTATAATTTGTCCTAGTAGAGTTTTTTGTTGTTGTCGTTGAGATAGTCTCTCACTCTGCTGTCCAGGCTAAAGTGCAGTGGTGTCATCATAGCTCACTGCAACTTCAGACTCCTGGGCTTGAGCCAATCTTCCTGCCTCAGCCTCCTGCGTAGCTGGGAATACAGGTGTGCATCACCATGCCCAGTTTTTAGAAAAATTTGTTTTGTAGAGACAGGGTCTTGCTACGTTGCCTAGGCTGGTCTCAAACTCCTGAGCTCAAAAGATCTTCCTGCCTCAGCCTCCTGTAGTGCTAGGATTACAGGTATGAGCATAGTGCCAGGCCCATGCCCTAGTAGAGTTTTTTTTTTTGAGACAGAGTCTCACTCTGTTGCCGGAGTAGAGTGCCGTGGCATCAGCCTAGCTCACAGCAACCTCAAACTCCTGGGCTGGAGCGATCCTTCTGCCTCAGCCTCCCGAGTAGCTGGGACTACAGACATTAGCCACCATGCCCGGCTAATTTTTTCTATATAGATTTTTAGTTGTCCAAATATTTTCTTTCTATTTTTTTAGTAGAGATAGGGTCTCGCTCTTGCTCAGGCTGGTCTCGAACTCCTGACCTTGAGCGATCCACCTGCCTCGGCCTCCCAGAGTGCTAGGATTACAGGCGTGAGCCACCGTGCCCGGCCTCCTAGTAGAGTTTTAAAAGGTATATACATAAACCTTTAACTGAAGTTCACTTTATTCCCCCTGTGTTTACTTATTTATTTTTATTGTGGTAAAAAACATAAAAACTGAAGTTTACCTTTGTATATGATGTGAAGTAGAGGCCTACAATCTTTCTCAACATAGACAACCAAATGTTCTTACATCATATATCCAGCCTCCTTTCTTTTCCCCACTAATTTCTAATTGCAAATGACATTTTTATTACATATGATGTTCCTTTTATACACGGGTCATCAGTTGTTAATGGCTTTTCTTTGGTGAGTGAGCCAAAAAGGTAGAATTTGAAATCATGTCTTAATTTTTAATCAATCTGAATTCTCTGAACAGTAGCTCATTCTGTTCTGTTTTGGTACTAAAACAGAGGCCGTGACCAACCTGGAATTGAAAATCATTGGAAGAGTAACTGTCGTAACTCCTTTGCCCACGGTGGTACCAGCTGTCCCTGTGATGGTGGTTCCTTTGGCTTTTAGCTGCACAGTGAGTGCTTTGGCAATGCATCCTAGAAACATGTCCAAGATACCCAGCTTATTCCAATCTCCTTTTTCTGTTGAGTGAATGATATCACTGATATCTGCTGGGGGAAGGGATTTCACTCCTATGATGCTGGCCAGGCGACTGGGGGTCACTTCAGGCAAAACTCGTCTTAGTAAAGAGGTCACCTGGTAAGAAAGAGAAAAGAAAAGAGTTGCATTTAAACAATGATGTTTTAGGGTTTTAATTTTTTAATGTACCTAACTACCATATTGTAACTGTAAAATCTTTGAAAAGAACAGAAATATAGTTTAAATACTATTTTTAAGAAGGGAAAAAATGATATAAACAATTATATATAAAGAAAAATATGATATAAACAAGCATGATATAAACAAAAATATGATATAAATTTTAAATTTCTGAGGTGGTAATTACCAACCTCAGGGCAGCAAGAAAAAAACATGTCTTTTATTTTCAGTCAGGACTAAGTGACATCATGTATTGCATAGTAATAAGGCAATCGGTTGCCAGAATACTCTTTATCACAACACATTAGTAAAATGGAACATATTTTGCTCTTCTATACTCTCTGTACTCTATGACTTCCTTAGGTAATTCTGTTTGCATTGCAATTTTTAACAACGTTTCAAGTAACAAAAGAAGTGGATAGGTAAGTGGTGTGATGGGTCAGTCACCTGTCTCTGGACTCTGGGAGAGGCTGTGTGAAGCAGGGAAAAGAGATCCTGAAGCAGAGTTAGCTGTTGAGCCAGATACTGTCGGCCAACATTAGACCCACTCAATGCTAAAACCATAGAGAGCAGCTCAAAGCAGTAAGCATCAGAGGAGGCATCTTCATCATTTGGCTGAGAATTGGCATTTTCCTTGCTTGATATGGCATGCTCCCATTCTTCACGGACTCTGGTGGCTTCCATGCGAATAGCTTGGACGATGTGAGCACACACCTATTTAAAGGCAACAGAAAATGTGAAAATATATTTCTAAGTCTGATTTACAACTCATAGTAAAACAAAACAAAAAATCAAGACAAGAATATAAATTGATGCTCAATTTTATATTCTTCCTCCCAGTTAATTCTCTATTATACCATTCCCTTAACTCATATTAAAACAGTTAAAAAAGTAGGGGAACTTTGATAAAAATCTGAACATTTAAAATCAACTATTATGTAGAAACTGATTATATACACGTTACTAATGCTTCTGCCTGTGGTTTATTTAGCACATCACACAAAATCACCATGCTTTATCACTTTTAAAGCACATGTTAAAAATAGACTATTTTAACATTTCTATCCATAAGGTGCTTTATAATTGATGGGATTCACAATATAATTGGCAGTAATTTTTATTTTTTGATGATATATAAAATAATAGCACATTTTATAATTGAAAGCATCTAAGATTCAACAAAATGCTGTTAGAAAGATAAAGCACAAATAAATTTATGTTATTTATTTAAAAAGATTTAATGGTACTGAAAGTTAAAATAGGCTAATCTAAAATCAATATTTTATTTAACTTTTGAGTACTATTTTTATGTTACTTAGCACCCCATTATATGAACAATCTAGTGCTACTTCCTCACCTAGTTATATTTAAAAATACTAATACTGGCTTAGTTAGCAGTATTAATTGCTTAGTAAAAAAAAAAAATAAAAAAAAATAGGGGGAAAGCAACACAGGAAATGCAAATGAAATCTGATAGAGCTGGATCTTTGACACCAAAATAAAATCTATCTATAACAAAGAGCAGCAAGAAAGTTAACATTCATAACAAAACATTTAAAATCTGATAGAGCTGGATATTTGACCAAAATAAAATCCACCTATAACAAAGAGCAGCAAGATAAGAAAGTTAACAATCATAACAAAATCTTTAAAGTGACACAGGTATGCCAATGTACTCGTTCCTCTCTAGAAAAAGGCAGACACATACTGTAGGATCTATGAAAGAGTCAACATAAAAAGCCTCCATAAATTTTGGAAAACACTTTATAGCCTAAAAACAAAGAAACAAAAAACTGATGAAGATAATATTAACTAACCTGTTTTTGTAAGTTAGTCAGTTTACTCCTGCTGAATATGATCCCAACCATATGTTCTTTCAGGTCAGCATCTGATGTTGCCTTTACATAGACAAAACAAAGAATGAAGCAGGCTCTTTAAACAAAATTTGTATATCTGACATTTCAAAGTACCTTGAGAAATGATTTTGCAGATTATTTTAGGGTAATTTATTTTAAATTGAGTCTTATACTAAAACAAAGGATAAAGTTTGAAGAAATCATCATTTGGCCAAAATGACTATAAAAAGAATAAAATTTTGAAACTTAAGAAACCTAGAAAAGTATATTATCATTTCATAAATTGATTTAGTATAGTCAATTTGAGTCATTTTGATTACATTTATTTCTAAATTGTGAACATATTAGTTCACATCATATATTCAATTATTTGAAGAGTAATCCAGGAAAATAAAAGATTAAAAGAAAAATATCCTAACAAAATTCTGTGATGATGGTGGTTTAAGCTATTCTAACACCAACAGTCATCAAAGATATGTATCATAAGAAGACAAATAAAGGCTGAAATTTTATAATGCTTATTATGTGCATGGCACTCTTCTAAGTGGCAGCTAGATACACATATAGACATGTATATACTAAATATATACACACACATATAATCTTATTTAATCCTCACAACAACGCCATAAGGTAAGCTCTAATGTTCTGCCTATGTTACATGTAGGAAAAGTGGGGCAAGTCACTCTTTTCTTTAAGAATCAAAAATGATTCTTGGTTTCACATTTCGTAAGATGGAGAGCCACAAGAGAATGTCCCTCCTACCCTAACAAGGAGGAAAAAGCTGCTCATCTACAAAACCATAACTTTTTTGAAGCCCATCAGTGACTTGAGATCTGCCACCAGGTAAACTGAATTTCAAAAAGACATATCCATATTGTTGGATACTTCAAAATTCTTCTTTCAGTACTTGACAGAGGAAGTAAATGAGTAAACAAACAAAAACCAATATACACAAGTCATTTGTATTTTTATATACTAGAAACAAACAATTGGAAGGTGAAATAAAAATACCATATATAATACTCTTGCAAATATGAAATGTTTAGGGACAAATTTAATAAAAAATGTATAAGACTTGTATACTTAACTACAAAACATTGCTGAGAGAAATTAAAGACCAAAATAAATGAAGATAAATACTGTGTTCACAGATAGGAAGACTCAAAATTATTGAGATGTCAATTCTCCCCAAATTGATTTATCATTTTATGTAATTCCAATCAAAATTCCAGGTTTTTAAAGAAATTGACAAGCTGATTCTAAACTTTATAGGGAAATGCTAAGGATTTAGAATAGCCAAAACAACTTTGAAAAAGAACAAAGGTGGAGCCTGATACCAAGATTTTTTTTGAAGCTACAGCAATCCAGACAGTTTGATGTTGGTGTAAGAATTTACATATAGATCAATGGAGCAGAATAGAGTCCAGAAATTGACCTACACATTTATGGGGAATTGACTATTGAAAACAGTCTTTTCAACAAATGGTAGTAGAACAATTGGACATCCACGTGCAAAAAATGAACCTCAATCTTTATTTACCTCACACTGGACATAAAAATTAACTAAGCAAAAACACTAAAACTATTAATATAATATTTCTAAAAGAGGAGAAAATCTTTGTGACCCCAGGTTCCAGACAAAATGCAAAAATCATGAATCATCTAGAAAAAACAGAAAAAATTGGACTTCATCAAAATTGAAATCTACTCCTCTCTGAAAGATAAGCCACAGACTAGGAGAAAATATTTGAAAACACATATTTGGTCAAGCACCTTCAAAGGTCTGTATGCAAATGTTCACAGCAGCTTTATTAATAACAGCCAAATAGTATGAACAACCCAAACATCCACTGAAAAGTAAAAGGATAAATAAATTACGGTAAATCCATATAATGGAATACTTCTCAGCAACCAAAAGAACGGTCCATGGACACATGCCACCATATGGATGAATCTTAAAAGCATTAATTACACTAACAGTGAAAGAAATGACAAAAAGGCTATATTCCCTGTAATTCCACTTATATCCAGGAAAAGCCAACACTACAGGGGTAGAATACAGTTCAGTGGTTGCCAGCTTCTAAGTGTGAGGTGGGGGGACTCTCTGCAAGGAAATATGAGAGAAATTCTGGGAGTGATGTATTTTAAAACTTGATTGTGATGACTTCACTAGCGTACACATGGGTAAAAACCAGCGAACAGTATAGTTTAAAAGGAGGATTTTTTTGTATGTAAATTATACTTCAATAACCTGACTTAAAAATGATTCTTTTAAAAATCATGTTATTTCATGGGCATCCAAGTGCCAGCATAACCTTTCCTATTCAACCTTAACTCTTTAAAATACACTCTCCTCCTGTTAGGCTAGCCTCTTCAGTGAGTCCTTACTCCCATCCTCTCTGTAAGTCCAACTTTTATCCATTCATTCTCTTTCAGCTCTAACTCAAGTTCAATATCCCCCAAGAAACCTTCTCTGACCACTCTAGGGCACAATAGTGTCAATGTACTCTGAAATCTTATGTCATGTACAATTTTTTCACATATTTAATAACTTGATTATATACTATATAGTAACCTTGCTGGTTTCCTTTTAGGGAGGGGGTGGTGGAGGGTTCATATCCAAGAACAAACAGATGCGAACTTTTTGAGGACTTGGCATTCCCACGATTGTTTACCCCAGAATTGACATTTGCTAAAATTCAAGTGATTTAAAGAATAGTTACCCAGTTTTGTAGTAATTCAAATGATATCTCCAAAAGATATTGAAAGGAATTAGCAGAGTTTATGAAATCTTATTTTTACAGACATCAAATAGAAAAATGGCAATAATTTAGGCAATAATGTATTAGAAGGTACAGGGCTAGACTAGGTAGATCCTTGAAGTCTATCTTTCAAAGGGCTGCCAAGGTGATTATTTGGAATATTTAAAGACCTAAGAATATTGAGACTAGTCATGGTTGACTTCTCTTTTTGGAATCGATGAGGTTTTACTGTTAGGTAGAGTGTTTTAGTTAGGACCAAAGAAATGAAGCAATTGTGTTTTAGAAGAAATTTCAAGAATAGTTGTTCAAATAAAAATGTACTGAATGGGTGTGTGATTACATCGTGGTGGATACAAAGACAAATCAGACAGACATGCACTTGGTCTTTAACAAGTATGGTTCAGTAGAAGAAATAAAACATGTATGTAGATAAATGTATGAGAGAAGCCAAGAAGAGACACATATAGATTATTAATTAGGAAATTTAGCAGAGGGAAGCTGCTTTTTGTTTGGAGAAACCATAAAGATGGTTCATGAAGACAGTATTTGTGAACCAGACTGTGAAGGACAGGTAAAATGGAGGAGGGAGAAGATAACTGATGGGGTGCAGTGCAGGAAATGACTAAGTTAATCTTACAGATTCTAACAATTGAACACAACAGCCCAAGGTATACAGTAAATTTTGCTGTTACTTCAAATAATAGATTATACATGAACAAATATGAATTTCTTATAGTTTCTTCATCTTTCTAATTAAAATAAAAAATGTGAACTAGAAATAAACTATTAACACATATCCATTAAAATATATAGCAACACATGGATCATTCGGTTAATAAGAGAATGAAAAAGGGAAATAAATATTTTTAGAATACAAATAAATACATTGTATACTTTTTCCTCTCCTTCAGGTGAGGACAGGAGTGCTTTTTCCTCTTGTTCTGGTGTAGGTTCAGCATCTCCAGAGATGAGCTTTCCAAATACCTGATAAAAAAGACACGCACATGAGAAGGAATTACCACCGTGAAAGCTGGAGGACTCATTAGTGGATTCTGCAGGTGTTACGTTATTCTTGCTATATACACCACTACTTTTCTGAGTTATGAATGCAATGTGAAACACAGTTGTTTAGGGCTGTGAGAAGTAAAAATGAGCTACACTTGTAGCCAGAAATCTCTAACAAGTTTTACAAAATGTTTTGTTATACTTTCAAAATATGTCAATGAATCCTGTAAAAGAATATGCAGTGGGGACACTCACTTGAGATGTAATAAGTCTGAATACTCGTAGAGTCTCAGCTTCACAGTTCCTTTGCTGGGCAACACTGGCGGAAATCTGGCCAGCGATTTTTGTGCTTTCACCATCTTTCCAGCCCAGGACTTTGACTTGTCGAACTCTTAGTGTATTTTCTGGGCCCTTTAATTCAATTTTGATGATATGATTATCCCCTCCTGGAAGTTCACTTGTTACCCAACCAATATGCCTAGAATCCAGATCAACCTGGGTGAGTAGAAAAGGGACAGGAAGCTGACACAGTTGAATCACTTTTATCACCGTCCTAGACTTAGCATTAATAACAGCACACTCAAATAACAAACAATTGTACAGAGAGTAAAGGTGATCGGGTTACTTCCCACTGATTATCTTATTTCAACCCTGTGAGGATAAGAAGTACTATTTATAGCAGCTTTGGTATGGACAGAGACACTGAGTTTAACACAGGTTGAGGAATTCTCAGTAAGTTGACGGAGGTGAGAATTAAAATCCAGGCCTGACGTACAGCACAAGTTATATGCGTGAAACCATTACAAACGATTTTTATGACCATACTTTACATATACTGTCAGTAGAAACATCACAAGATCAGCAAAGAAGTTCTGTTTCGTGCATCCTCACATAAAAAGCAGCATTTAAAGATATTTTCAATGTGCAGCTACTTAATATGTTTTGCTTTTGAAGTTATATAATATGTAACTTTATACTTGTGATTCCTTATTTCACTGAATTTCATTAAGAATATAACATTTTTCAAGGATTAAATGTCAATTACACTGTGAAATGGTTTTTGACACTATTTCCTTGATAAAATGAAAATGAAAATAAAAATTGTAGACTGAGGCAGGAGGATCACGGGAACCCAGGAATTTGAAGTTACAGTGAGCTATGACTGGGCCACTGCACTCCAGCCTGGGCAACAGAGTGAGATGAGATGAAAGAATGAATGAATGAATGAATAGCATAAAATGAAAATTGTTCTTATGGCATTTGATAACCAAGAAATGATCTGGGGACTTCTAGATAATTTATATAGACATTTGAGTTGATATTATTTTAATAGATGTCAATTTTCTTTTTTCTATTTTTTTTTGTACATATAGGTCAGGATCCATTAAGATAATGTCAATTTTCTAAAAGAGGTATTAAGCATAAATAAATACTATCCCATTGAACAGGATTTTTCCTCAAATTCTTTAACAATTTAAACAAAATTTATTATTTGTCTGGTCTAAATTCTCAATTCATTCTTTCAATATGATTTGAAAAAATAAACAAAAAGCCCCCAACTGACTAGTCGATTTCTATGAGATAAAGTAGCCACAGAGGCACAGCTTTAACAAAGCTTCACTAACACAAGTAAGGAAGCTTGTACACCATCTCAGACACATGCCCAGATAAAATTTGTTTCTAGAGTTAGTTTGTAAACTGACTTGTGGCCTGGTTGTAATTGCAGTGTTACAAGTGAGAGATTTTTCAGGCTAGAGAACAACTTATTTTAACCCAAAGTAAAGGTGAATTAATGTGTTGAGTGTGAATAGGATCTGTGATAAATTCTAAGGCACCCTGAGTCTTTGTAGAGGAGTAGGGTGGGGAGGGAGACACAGTATAATTGCTCGTGACTGCAGAACATTAGAAAAATAATGAATGAGATGACCAGCACAGGGATGGTTGTTATTGTTCCTACATAGGGACCATTTGTCAATTTACTGTTTTGTAAATAGATGATTTCCTATAATACTTTGGTAGTGTGCCAAAATTGGAACTAACTCAAGAGTGGAGGCTGAGAAGAAGAAAAACATTTAATGACAACATCTCAATTACCTGCTTTATTCTGCATAAATCTTCTACTGCTTTGCCAGTTAAGAAGGTCATTGAGGTAACTTTATTCTAAAATAGACAATTCACAATAGTTATTATGCCTTATTCTTGCTTCAGAACTTACAAATATTCTTACAACCTACAAACAACACGTCAATTCTTCTGCCTGTCTTCTATGATTCTTCCTAATTGACCCGACCTCATCTTTCCAACTAACCACAATTCCTACAACTCCAGTCTTTTCTTATCCTCACAAACTCCATCTTAAACCTCACATTTCAGCCTTTGTCCACATGTTCTCTCATAGTTTGATATTCCCTCTTTTTATGCAAAGTCTAAACATTCAAATTCTATTCTCTATCTTCATGAAGCCTTTTAAGCACTTCATGAAGTGCTTGTCACTTATGTCTGACTCTTGTGGCTGTATTCTCATTACTTTTGGAAGCAGGAAGAAGGAAGGTAACTTAACAAATACTTATGAGTGCCACAATGTACCCAGACTGCCTTACAGACTTGAAGTAGGATATATGAGAATACAGCGGGTTCTATCCCCCAAGATACTTGCCAAACTAGGCAAGGCAATGTTATTAACACAAAAAATAAATACCAAACAGTAGAAGTTCAATACCTTTAAGTACTGAAAAAGAAGCATGTTGGTACTAGTGCCAGAGATCTTAAGGTTAAGTTTTATGTAAATCACATCGAGAAACAGATTAACATATTAATTCCTCAGAGAGCTGCATACTGTGAGTGCTATAGGCTGATGCAATTCAAATCAACAAATGGCATGTATAAGGCACTGTGGTGGGCAGGTTGGGGGACACAGAGGTACAGAAGCTTAAGAAGGATGTATAAACAGTTTGAGTATTCCTTACCCCAAATGCTTGGGACTAGAATTATTTCAGATTTCAGATTTTTTAGGATTCTAGAATACTGCATTTGCATTATACTTGCTGGGTGAGCACCCCAAATCTGAAAATCTGAAACCTGAAATGCTCCAATAAGCAATTCCTTTGAGTGCCATGTTGGTGCTCAAAAAGTTCAGGATTTTGAAGATTTTGTATTTCAGAGTTTTGAATTTGGGATGCTCAACCTGTAACACAGAGGAAATCTTCAAAAGGAAAGCAGATGTCAGCTTACATGTTGGGAATTTTAAAAATGAATATTGTTATGATTATCTCCTGCTAGAAAAAGCAAAAATATCAAATTGGTTATAATCACTGATCTGAGGAAGACTATGTCCCAGTTTAAAATGTACCGTGAGTCAAAGATGTACTGAGCAGTGAGTTCTAGCCAGAAAAAATGTTTTGATTCATTACACTTGACTTTCTAGTAAGATAAAGTAGTTGTATCAATTGAAATTCTTGGGTCTGAAGAGGAAATAAACTCATAATATATTAGCTAAGCCCCTTTTTCTTATTGAACACTAGGGAAGAACTGAATCTGCACTGATGTACAGTGTTAAGGGTTGGGGTGGCTGTGGATGGCAAGGCGCGCTCTGACTGCAGACTGGCCTGCTGTGGTTGGCTTCACATCAAGGTTTTCTGAGACTCAAGCCAGCTACTCTGGTTCTTCCTGGGAAAAGAAATATGCAAATGGCATGGGAGCAGCAAGGCAAGGTTTAAGGGAGGCCATTAATACTATATCTGCTAGGAAGCCACATCAATTCTGAGGGGAAAAAATTCCAAGAAGTTTCCTTCCCCAGGAATGGTGTAGTTTGGCAGGTGGTTCTCTTTCTTTCTTGGTTCTTAACACTCAAGTAAATAGGATTCTTTTTCCTTTGTTTTGTGCTTTTTATAAAAGAGTGCTTAATTCAGTTGAAACATGTAGATAGACTAGACTAGGGAGAATATAAATAAATTATGATTATTTGAGGTAGTCCAGAAACTTTTTTTTACCCCCTTGAGGACCAGGAGTAAGAAGTAGAAACTTAAGGCCAATTACACTACAGGTAAAAGTATACTAAATATCATCACAGTAATACAAAAAAGAACCCAATGGAGGGAAAGAGTAATTTCTCTTTCAGAGAGAATTTCTCTGCCGAGTCTTAGAGATCTTGGGAGAATCTGATAAGCAGAGTTTTAGGGGAGGATTTCTAGGCCAAAGGAACAGCTTAAACAAGGACATGAAAAAAGGAAATTATACAGCAGACTTTCATATTGCTTAGCTGTAGCTATATTTATAATCAGACCTCTTTTCAGAATTGGTATTTCATAGTGTTTTATAGTGCTTCCAATCATATTAATCTGTTTTTAGATTTAAGATTTATTTGGGGAATATAAAAATGCTATTTGGTTGGTGAAGTTCCAGGTCATAAATCTTTTTGCTAAACTCAGAAATGAGAGTGGATGATTATTAAAGGTCTGAAAAGAACTAATGAGCTATAAATTAAGTTTCCTTTCTTACCCCAAGATCTCGGGAATTGTCCACATGAACAGATACATAGCGGGCATTGATTCCTTTTACACAGTTGATGGTGATGTTCTTAGTTTTGTTTTTATCTTCATCTCCTGATTCCCAAAAGGTTTCTGTGGAGCCATCTGTCAAACTGCCAATCATCGCAGGTCGGCTTGAAGTTTTTATGTCAACAATGCTGGTTAAGTCCTTTAAGCACATTACTATGCATAATTCCTGTCAGAAACAAATATACGTGCTTAAGATACACAAAAGGAAATCTATGATGATAAAACGAACAGACATGAGATAAGAAAAAATGTGAAATAGAATCAAATCGTTTATGAGTAACTTGTAGTTTCTCCTTTAATACATTGTTCACTATTAACTAACAGGATAACCAGGCCAATAACTGTTAAATGACTCACCTGACTCATAGCTTCAAAGCCAGACTGTATACTGATGCTAAAACTCTCTTCACTATCGCCATCATCTGATTTTGACAAAATATTGTTAATGTGGTGAAAGACATTACTCTGATGGAGAAACTGGTGATCAGATTGTTTGAATTTGAGACTCCAGCATCTAAAAAGGCAATATATAGGCAATATATGAAATAATTATTTTCCAGGAATATCTAAAGAACTCTCGGAAAAGTCCTCTGTAGCTAATATCTCAAGAAATCTTAATGCTCTAGTAAAAAATTGAAATTTTAAAAATACAGGGAATAAAATCATTGCTTTTTTTCTGAGAAATAAAGGTAATTTTTTTGGAACAAGTAAGTTCTAAGGGAAGTTCACTCATTTTAAACATAGAAAAATTAGACACATGAAGATCAAGGCTACAGAAGCAAAAAAGGTAATGAATTTGTTTTGTGGACAAGTGTGACACCACCTATAACAGCCTCTCAAATGTATTAGTTTTACAATTCCATAGTAATTCATCAGAGTGTAACATATCTTGCACTTCAAAAATCTTGTGAGGAGGGAAAAAAACCCTCCCTTCCACTGGTCTTATCATCAGGAATGTGGGAAGCCCAATCATTCCATCGACCTATTTCTTGTATAAACCAACAGAGGATTTATTTGTATCTGTAGTCTAGCATGTGGATCCAATAACAAAGTTCACAATGTAAAAGCAATGCTAAATTCTCAACAGATTCCAACTTAAAATTATGTGATGTTCCTTAAGGTAGTGTTAGGATTGGCTGCATAGACCTAGGCTCCATTTTCCTTAAGATTCTTTTCAAGTCAATCTTTATTTTGGTTTTTGGATTTCATTTTCCTTCTTCCTTTTTGGGACATGTAAATGATTTGAGGTAGGAGAGTGGGGAAAGTGAGAGAGATCATCATAGAATGTGATAGTTTAGAGCACTAAGAAGTGTATTATCCACATTTCACAGAAGGGAACAGGTGTGAACTAAGAGGAAGGACAATTCTAAATTATGACAGTAAGGAGGGAGGCACCATTTACATAATGTAGGGATTCCTTGTATCTTCCTGAAGAGACTTTATTGAGCATTTCATACTTCGAATACTCCATAAAATCTCTTCTCCAATGTACCCAGAATACTTTGATACAAAATTACCTCAGAGCCATTTGTTGTAATGAACTGCCACTGGGGAGAGACATCATAAGATCGGAGATGGTTTGAAGCAGGCGGTGAAATGTATGAGGCAAAGGATGAGCGGCTTCACCTGCAATCACTATGTCTGAGAGTGGATGTTCGCATACTCTTGTGTCTTTCTCCTAAGACAGAAATTGAAAGTGAGTTTATCAGCTTGTGTGCTGAAAGGAACTTCCCTCACAAAAAAATATTATGTATACTCAAAAGTATTCTGTATACTTTAAAGATACTCTGTAACAGAAATGTAAAGAACAAAACCAAACCAGACACAAAACACACAGTAAGATTAATTATGCCTATATTACTTTTAGGGAAAAAGCAATAAGGCTACCCACAATTGAAATCAGCAAGCAAATGGATACCCCATATACATGTATCAATTCTAAAGTACTCACAAATCTTTTAATACAGCAAATCCAAATGTGTATGCAAGTGTACAAATGTCTATATGGCAGATATGTTTTTTGTGTATATTTTTATATGAAAAAATAACGTGTTCACTACTGGTCACTGCCCATAGCCTATAAACAATTGTTTTGCGTATTTTGTCAGTTTTTTGTTTTTTATTGTGAGAATTAATACCAGGTATTTCATCACGGTCATAATTAGAATTCTGTCGAACAGTAAGTTTTGAGATGTAGTATTTTTTTGTCATTCAGTTTAAAATATTTTCTATTGTGATTCTTTTCTGATGTAATTTATTTGGAAGTGTTTTTCTTAATTTCCACATGAATATATTTTTCTTGTTATCATTTTGTTATCTATTTTTAACCTACTAGCAACAAACACAGAGGTCATGGTAAGAAGGAAACCAATAATTTGAAGGTTGTTGAAACTTGCTTTATGTGCCCAGTAAGTGGTCATTTTCACAGCCGTTCTGTGTCTCTGAAAAGAATGTGAATGGTTGGATGCAATGTTTTATATATTCCATTAAATCAAGACTGTCATTCATTCAAATCTGTTTACTTCCTGATTCTTTTTATTTGCCTGATCTATCCAGTACTGAGAAGACTGTTGTAGTACTCTGCACAAAATGGCCACGAATTCTTTGTAGCTCCTCCCATCAAGAGGTAGAGTTTACTTTTTCAGCCCCTGAATTTGGTCAGCCTTGTGAATTGCACTGCCTAACAGAAGGTGGCAGAGGCAGAGGCCCAACAGAAGTGTGAGTTTAGCCTAGGCCCTTTGGCTTTGCAGCTCCTCATTTTACCCTTCGTTTTGGACATTTTGGAAATTAATCATAAATTAATTTTTTAATTAATCATAAAATGCCATTCATACAATTTTAGAGTGCTTGGGAGTAAGCTAGATTACTCTTCCACTTTACAGATATGGAAATTGAAGCCTACAAGTCATACATCTACACTGAAATAGAAATGCAGCTGGAACTCAGGCCAGCAGTGTTCTAGTTCAATGCTTTTTCCATTATACAGGTTGCCTCCTATGGAAACCAGGTCCCGTCTAGCCAAACATTTTTGAATTTCATGTCTCTAAACAGTATCATTTTTACCATCCAGTATCTTATAGCAATGCTGAAAATGTTACTCTGTTTATGTCATATATTGTGCTGTAATAGCATATATCTTCCAGTTGATTGCTCTGTGACAATGGTGTTTAATGAGAAATCAGATGTGACTGTTAGCATCTTTGCTGGAGATGAAACTTTCACTAAATATAGTTAATACTTTGCTCATAGCATTAAAGGTTCTTCTTGCTTGATAATCTGTGAATTACTTCATGCAAACTATTGTACTATCTGAAGGTGTATTACTCAGTTTCTTTAAAAACATTGACAATTAAAAGAAACAAAAATCTGACTTACTTGTTCTGAATTTTCTTTGTTTGTTTTATTTTCTTCATCCTCCTCCTCTTCTGGTTCCACTGGAGCAGGAGTCAGTGATGCCACAAAATGCCATAGAATATCATGAAGAGAAGTGGTTTGGATGACATTACACAGAAGCCAGTTGAAAGCCTGAATTAAACGAGTGAGTCCAAGATAAAAAAAAAATGTAGAGTTTTTCTTACTCAGAAAGGAAGTACTTCCATTGGCTAAGAGTTACAAAGAAAGATACTGGAAAATCTGATCTTCATTTCACTGAAAATACACTGAACTTGAAATAATTAATAGTTTTGGTCTTATTAAAAATAAAGAGGGAAAATAATATTTATAAAATACAATACTAAAATACCTTTTCAAGCCAGTTTCTATGTTGAAAATTCTTCTTAATATTAATTTACTCCAAGTACATTTTTTTCCCAACTTGCATTTAGGATGAACGTAGAATATTTCTCAAGCTCTACACAAGCTGCCATTTACTTAAATATATTTATATCATTCCCATCAATGAAGTGGCAAGTTATTTATCACATTCATGATAAAGCATAAAGATTTACTACATACGGACCTGTGATATACAGCAATCTTATTTTTTAGAGAATGGAGGTCCAGAGAAGTTATTACTGGTAAATTTATATCTTTTTTGCATGATTATTCTCTCATTTTATCCTAATAAAATGACATTCTGAGTATAAAAATCTTTTAAGTAATAAAGCAATGCAGAAATAAATTTCTTTAGAGTACTTAAATATAAAATTCTAAATTCATTTATATTCATGAACTTTAGAGTTTAATTTTGATGTGTACATGATACTTTTGATTGGTTAATGTCTTTTAATTTGATGCAATTTCTGTTGGTAAATAAGTGGCATCATTAAATAGAACCATCACATGATTTGTATAATCAATGAATTAGTAACTCCATTAATATATTCGTACCTCCATAGCAAAAACTCGACACGCAGATTTCCTTAAGGCTTGTTTCATTGCTATTTCAAGACCTTCTAGATCATGATGCTGTATAACAAAAGCTAAAACTGGCCATTGGAAATTTCGTTCTCCTTTAGAAAGAGAGCTGTGGGCTGAGATTAGTCGAGAAAGCTCAGGAGATGGATGTCTCAACAGGGAAGAACCAACTTCTATTAAAAAAAAAAAAAAGAAAATTATTAATTTTCATAGGCAGTACATACTGAAGATAATAATGAAAGTAAGATCTAAGTACTCACAAATCTTTTAATACAGCAAATCCAAA